GGGGACACTGTCAGAGGGTCAGTGCTGAGGGAGAGCTGCACTGTCGGAGGATCAGTGCCGAGGGAGCGCCGCAATGTTGTAGGGTCAGTGCTGAGGGAGCGCCGCACTGTCGGAGGGTCAGTGCTAAGGGAATGTTGTCTCTGTAGGATGTTGCTGTAAGTGGGTGTGGGTAGTGGGTGGTGAGGGTGGTGGAGGTGATGGGGCGTGGGTCTGACTGAATCCTGTGTGTATTTCAGAGAGATGGTCAGCACAACCCGAGGAACAGGAGGGAACCAGCTGTGAGCCTGGGGCCTCGAGCTCTCACCACACCGAGCTTAGCACCGTGAGTCCCAACTGGTTCCTCAAACTGCTGCTTTGTGCATGCCATACCTCACCCCAGGGACCAGGGATACGGGGGGTGGGGCTGTGTGTGTGTGAGAGAGAGTGTGTGTGTGTGAGAGAGAGAGTGTGTGTGTGTGAGAGAGAGAGTGTGTGTGTGTGAAAGAGAGAGAGTGTGTGTGTGTGTGTGTGTGTGTGTGTGTGTGGGGGCGGGGGTAATGTTTCTGTCACTGATTGTGTGTGTGAGAGAGAGTGGGGGAGAGAGTGTGTGAGAATCTGTATGTGAGAGTGTCTGTGAGAGTATCTGTGTGTGAGAGTGTGTGTATTTGTGTTAGAGATATATACTCACATACACTCTCACTCTCTGACACTCTCAAAGACACACACTCTTTCCCACATACACAATCACACACACACTCACTCTTTCACATACACTGACACTCTCACACACACACTCTCTCTCTCAAGCGAACACAATCTCACACACACACTGACAAACAGAGAGACACTTGCTCTCTCTCCCACACACACACAGGTTCTCTCACACACACTCTCTCTATCACATACACATACACTCTCTCAGATACACAATGTGCATGTGATAGAGAGAATGTGTTTGTGTGTGAGAGAGAGAGTGTGTGAGTGTGAGAGAGAGAAAGAGAGAGTGTGTGTATGAGAGTGTGTGAGTGTGGATGTGAGAGAGAGAGTGCGTGTGTGTGAGAGAGCGAGTGCGCGTTTGTGAGAGTATGCATGTGTGTGAGAGTGTGTGTGTGGATGTGAGAGAGAGTGTGCGTGTGTGTGAGAGTGTGAGTGTGGATGTGAGAGAGAGAGTGCGTGTGTGTGAGAGTGTGAGTGTGGATGTGAGAGAGAGTGCGTGTATGTGAGAGAGAGAGAGTATGTGTGTGAGAGAGAGAGAGTGCGTGAGTGTGAGAGAGAGAGTGCGTGAGTGTGAGAGAGAGAAAGAGAGAACGTGTGTGTGAGAGTGTGAGAGTGTGGATGTGAGAGAGAGTGTGCGTGTGTGTGAGAGAGAGAGAGTGTGTGTGTGTGTGTGTGAGAGTGTGAGTGTGTGTGAGAGAGAGTGTGAGTGTGGGTGTGAGAGAGAGTGTGCGTGTGTGTGAGAGAGGGAGAGTGTGGGTGAGAGAGAGTGTGTGTATGAGAGAGAGAGTGCGTGTGTGTGTTTGAGAGTGTGAGTGTGGATGTGAGAGAGAGTGTGTGTGTGTGTGTGAGGGTGTGTGTGAGAGAGAGAGTGTGCGTGTGTGTGAGAGTGTGAGTGTGTGAGTGTGTGTGAGAGAGAGAGTATGAGTGTGGATGTGAGAGAGAGAGTGCGCGTGTGTGTGTGTGAGAGAGAGAGTGTGTGTGTGAGAGAGAGTGCGTGCGTGTGTGTGAGAGTGTGAGTGTGGATGTGAGAGAGAGTGTGTGTGTGTGAGAGAGAGAGAGTGTGCGTATGTGTGAGAGAGTTTGTGTGTGAGAGTGTGAGTGTGTGTGTGTGAGAGTGAGAGAGTGTGGGTGTGAGAGAGTGTGCGTGTGTGTGAGTGTGAGTGTGGGTGTGAGAGAGAGTGTGAGTGTGGGTGTGAGAGAGAGTGTGAGTGTGGGTGTGAGAGAGAGTGAGTGTGGGTGTGAGAGAGAGTGAGTGTGGATGTGAGAGTGTGAGTGCATGTGTGTGAGAGAGAGTGTGTGTGTGGATGTGAGAGTGTGTGTGTGGGTGTGTGAGAGAAAATGTGTAGCACAAAACTGTAGATGCTGGAGAATCTGAGATAACAAGGTGTACAGCTGGATGAACACAGCAGGCCAAGCAGCATCAGAGGAGCAGGAAGGCTGATGTTTCGGGCCTAGACCCTTCTTCAGAAATGGGGGAGGGGGTTGGGAGCTCTGAAATAAATAGGGAGAGGAGGGTTGGGTCTGGGGCAGGTAGGTGGGATGGTGATAGGTGAGTGCAGGGAGGCGGTGGTGGGGATTGGTGGGAGGGGTGGATAGGTGGGAGAGAAGATATACAGCTTGTGCCAGGTCAAGGAGGTGGGGATGAGAGGGAGGGTTGGACATGGGATGAGGCCTCCTGCTATCTCTAGTTGCTTCTTGAATACATTCAATGTTTTGACATCAACTGCTCCCCATGGTAATGAATTCAGTTCAGGCCGGTCTCCCTCCATGTCCAGGCTGTGGTTTATAGATCGTCTCAAAAAACCTCAACACCCTGTCTGTCTGCTCCACCCTTTATTCTGATCCTCCTCCAGGTTTGTCCCCCTGGGATAGGCAACCAGGAACAAATCACATCAGTCTTTCCCCAACGTGGGATAGCAGCTGGCCATTCAGCCTGTCCCCCCTGCTCCAACATGGGATAGCAGCTGGCCATTCAGCCTGTCCTCCTGCTCCAACATTCTCTGAGATTGTATCTGATCTTTATTGGGGTTGTCCTGCCTTGGCTCTAATTTATTGTCACTGTTGTGACTTGTAACAACGTCCCGATCTCCAAGTTAAAGTTTATTGATGGAGATAGTTTCTGTGTTTTTGTTGAGTGGGAGAGTGGTGCACACTCTCTCTCGGTCTCTCCCGGTCTCCAGACAGTTTCTGATATTGTCTCCTCAAACTTTCTAACATTAAAGTCACTGTTCTCCCTCTGCAGGGCTCCCACCCCATTCACAGAAATCTGCCCCTTTCCACTGACCATTCCTTTCCTGTTCCTAAAGCCCTGAAACAAATCCCAACTTCAGCTCCTCCATTCCAGAGAATCACAGGGGGGTTCCTGTAATCTCCCATCTAACTCCATCCCACTAGGATTTGGAAGGGCTCTCTCTGAGCTACTTCCATTCCACTGCCAGTCAAATGGGGCTGTGGCAGTCTGGGATGGGGATCCCAGGTCCAGATGGGGGCACGGAGTCACGGGAATGGGATGGGCATGGAGTGGCAGGATTGGGATAGGGGCATGGATTGACCGGATTGGGATAGGGGCATGGAATGGCAGGATTGAGATAGGGGCATGGAGTGACTGGATTGGGATAGGAGCATGGAGTGGCAGGATTG